CTCTGTCGAGTCTCTTTTCTTTTCTTTTTGTCCTGAAGCCTGTAGCGTAGATAGTTTAAACACACCCTTAGATAAACAACAAGCGTGGATCCCGTCGAGTACGACGAACGTGAGGGGTGCTAATACCTTTCCCTTGCGTAACCGACTCCCGAATCCAGGACTTGGTTGCGATGACCTCGTCTTTTCCCTTTTTCGTTTGGTTTTTCCGATCGTTTCCTTTCTCTTTCTTTGGGATAAATAACGAAAGGTGACGACTCTTCTGTTTTCCGCCGGATATTTTTCGCAGTTGCGACACTTAGCCATGGAAGGATAAATAGTGCTAGATTAATAACTTGGAATGAAGTTATAATTATACATTTATTTAACTAATGTTATCATGTATTTATCAAAATTAGATGGACCAATAAATAGATGTTAGAATGAAGGACTAAAACAAACACTTAATCAATAATAATCTTTACTTGATTAATTGATTTGTAATGACCGAATAAACAAATATCCTAACATACCTAACATGCGTTAAGTAAGAAAAATATAAGGGTAAAACTTCATAAAATTAATATTTTAATTATCAATTACTCTTAAATTTCTATTTATTAAAATTCATAATTAATATGCTGGTCAAAACAAACAAGACAAATAAAACAATTAAAACAAACAAGCCCAATAACAAAAAAACAAATCGGTTCCGCTAAGATGACCCTGGTCCAGTCGTAACTATGAAAAACACGGTTAGCATCTATGTATTGTTACTTGAATTATCTAACATTTCTTACTGCCAACCCACTCTTATTAATGCTATTTATTCTGTTGTTTTCTAGAAGAAGGATAGACAGATGGAACTTTGTGCCAATAATACTAAAGAAAAGGCTACCTCGAGCCTTCCCCACTGCAGGTGGCAACCAATTGGCTCTTCCCAAGACACTCTATACTCAATGGATAGACAACTCAGCAATGAAAGTAGTGTAACGGTTGATTAAGCCTTAAAAAACTTTATAATATTAGAAAAGAAAAAAAGCTAGAATGAAATCAAATCTCAAAACCGCTACTCCTACCACCCTTTCGCTTCTCTCTCTAAAAAACAAAGCAAGTCACCCTTTCTCTTTCAGAGGTCACGCAAACCTCTCTTCTTCACTCACCAGGTTCTTTGCAACATGACTCTTCAAAACCCCAAAAAGGTTTTTGAATCAAAATTTCTACCATTTTCTCCGCGAAGACACAACAGTCTCCTATATCTAGAACGATCATACCCAAACCTTACTCAAAACATCAACACAAAGCTAACAATAGAGTGACAAACAAGGAAATCAAGCAAATCAACAACTAATCAGGGGGTTCTGCTATTATAGAAAATATTAAAGCAAAGCAAGTGGTTTCGTCATGTTTACCTCAGGTGAACGTCTCTTTGATTTGATAGCTTTCTTGCTGAAGTTTCTGCTTTTTTTTCTTTATTTCCTCATTTGCTCTCCTTTTACTTTACCGTGCGTTGTTTTGAGAGCGTGTAGGTGTGTTCAAGCTCAAAGCTTACTCAGATTCTGATGATGAATCTGAGAGCCTTTGTTGACAAGAGCTTTGGGGTGAGGGTTTAGGGTAAAAAAATTAGCAGAGCTTCGTTGGGTTTTTTGGGTACCCCTTTTATTAATGATTAGTGTCATATTTATATGAGGTTTAGGGTATTCTCATACATGTGAATTAAGAGAAATACTGAGGATTTTTGACCGTACTACCCCATTTTGAAATATAATATACCATAATACCCCAATTTGAATTTTTTTTTACCAGAGTACCCCCTTTTTACTACGAGCTCGTCCATTGAAGTGACGAACCAGTTTGTCCCAATACACGTTCGCCCATTAGAAGGACGAGTTAGTGAAGCAAATGGGCTCAGTATGAGCTCATCCATTGGAAGGACGAGCTTGTACACATGGAATTTTGTTTTTTTTTTTAATTTTGAGTTTTATGTATTTATTATTAGAAATTTATTTTTTAATACATTAATTATTTATTTATTATAATTAATAATAAAATAATAATTTTAATTTTAATAAATAATAAAATTTTAATTTTTTTTAATTCTGAGTTTTATGTATTTGTTTTTTAATACATTATTTATTTATGTATTATAATTAATAATAAAATAATAATGTTAATTTTAATAAATAATAAAATTTTAATTATAAATAATAAGTTAAATAATGTTAATCATTTTTAAAAAAATAAATTATTAAATACTTATTAATAAAAAATTAAATTATTAAATACTCATTAATAAATAATTTTAACATTGATTAAAATAAAAATACATTTGATCTAATATGTCCCCCAGTTCCACACCTAGGGATCCTTCGCTGTCTATATCCCCTACCCAAACGCTCATTTCTAGTTGATTCAGATGAGTCAGAAGACATGTCTTCATTGTGATGTGTTGTAGGGGGGTTTGTCTGCCGTGAAGAGGGTCCCGGTTGCTCATCGAGAAGATCATCAATGTTAAAATCCGGCATCTGCATCAGTTGCTCGTCTGTCAACAAAAATTGTTGGAATGAGTGTGGTGGTTGCGGTGGTGGCGGGTAGGTTTCGGACCGGGGGTGTTGAAAGGTTGGGTAGTAGACGTCATCAGACGTGAAGTTCGGGGTGGGTTGAGTATAGGTAGTGTTGATGGTCGAGGCGGGTTGAGAGTAGGTTGTGTTGGAGGGTTGATATTGAAAATGAGGGCCGGTATGGTCAAAGAGGGGCGGTTGGACTGGGGTGAACTGTACGGGTGGTCGTAGGTATTGTTGAGGCTGATATTGTTGGTTGTATTGGTAGGTATAGTTTTGTTGATGGAGTGGATTGTTGGGTGTTTGGTGTTGGTATGTATGTTGGGATGTGTGGGTTGGTGGCACATCCTGATGCATTGATGTCGTAGTTTGTTGTGTTGATGATGATCCTTGCAAGCGTGAGTCGATTAAAAATTGGTCCGGAGCAATGTGCACATAAGGAATGGCACGAAACTAAGTTAAATACTCTTGACTTGGCTTGCGTTCACCTAACACGACGTCCCCTTGTAAAATCACATGTCTCCTGTGTCTCCATTCTTTGAGCTCCTCGTTGTTTAATTGTCGCCAATTAACTCTTTGTGCCTTTCTCATAGTCATGGCGTGGTGTTCTCTTAGACACCTTGGGGGGAGGGATTTGTTGGTCCAGTCCAAACTGGAGTGTTACTCTATCCGTTTGATGCATCTCAACGGTATAGAAACAAATAAGGAATGTTGTTGCACTCCAGATTTGACTATCTTCAAGCCTCGGTAGCGGATATCGAATGTACGGTCTCCATATGAACTGCAAAAAAAAGGAAATTAATATACCGTTAATGAGTTGAATCGAAGACTATTTCCACGTGGTTTGAAACTTACATCGTGTTCTTGCATATGGTCCAATGCGTTTCGATAACCTTGGAGATGGAAACGAGGATTTGCACGGTAGTTCATCCCTCGTTGAGCCCATCTTGTTTACCATAAAAAATATTGTTAGAGATAGTTGAATAAAAAATATTAACGTTATGTACACATAAATGAGTATTTTAATAAAGTAATACCTTTGTGCATATGGATATGAGGGTTCCACTGTAGTGACAGGAGCGAACGATGGGATACGTGTGAATGCCCATGATGTTAGTAGGAGTGCACATCTGCTCAAGCTCCTAACATCTTTCACTGCCGCCTTGCACATTTCTCTATACAATTTTGCCAAGCATGCAGAACCCCAACTATAGGTGCCACATTTTATAAGATCCCCTATGAAAGGGATCCAAGAAGAATGTAATAGATTCTGACTTTTGTCAGGAAACAAAATTGTAGCGATTACAAGTAAAATATAAATTTTAGCTTCTAAGAGAACGTCTTCTTGGGTAGGGGCAGATTTATTTTTTAAAGTTCCATATAAACCCTCTAGCCAGGTTATCTTAACGGAACCTTTAATTTTTTCCTCTTCGGTAGGTTCCACCCCCAAGTTTTCCATGTAAACGTAGTTTGTTACCTCAGTGGGACCGTTGATGGCTGTTCCATCAACTCGTAGATCAAGTAACATACACATATCTTCAAGAGTTATTGTGCATTCGCCTGTTGGGAGGTTAAACGTGTGTCTTTCCGGTCTCCACTTCTCCAACAGCGCCACAACCAAGCTTGAGTCGATTTTTAGACTTTTTATTTTTGAAATATTTGCAAAACCAGCTATCTCAAGATACGGCATTATTCTCGCACTCGCATCAATAGGAGCATGCGAATGCACTCTAAACCTTGGGGCATTTGTCTGCAACAACATTGAACAAACATAATGTAACCAAAATTTATATTCTTAAACTACTAGAGAAATAATATTTAATGAAATCATATTTAATGAAATGATATCATTAACAAACTTACGCTAGCTTGGATATTTTGCTGTGTACCACAGTGTTCTTCGCCCATCCACAAAATCGACATGGTAAAAATGGAGGAGTAGAGAAATAAAATACTTGTGTTACAAATGCTAGTGTAGTGAGTGTAGAAAGTTTGAGTAGAAAAATTGAAGTAAAAAATCGAATTTATAGAAAAATGATCCTTCATGCATGCAAATACAAATAAATTCTGTCAACTTTATTTTCTTGAATGACCATTGCATGCAAAACTAGTCTTCATGCATGCAAAAGCCCTAATGCGTAGGCCTTACACATTTGTTCTTTGCATGCAGACAAACCAACACGAGCTCGCCCATGCATTGGACGAGAATGCACACTCCAACACGAGCTCGCCCATGTAATGGACGAGCATATAGGGAACACGTAACCAGCACGCCCTATGGAGGGACGAGCTTGTGGTGATCAAGAATCCAGGACGCCCTTTTAATGGACGAGCTTGTAGTGCAATAATTCCATTATTTCTCTTATATATGTGTATACGAATATATGCAACACATACTACTATCAATATTCATAACCACTCTACTATCAATCTTCACTACCAAGAAATTTTCCGCATTCGAAAATGTCCCAGAGAAACGTAATTCTTACATGCCACTACAACAGTGTTTTTTCAACAAATAGCCCCGACGGTTTCTCGTTCAGCAACACGGATACATACGCGGTTAAAATTCATGTGAATTCTGATTTTTTCCATTTAAAAGATAGAATGGAAAAAAAATTGACACGAAGCGTTGAGGAAATATTTTATCGCCATCCAACACTTAATGAAGACGAGCGTACAATTTTTTACTTAATGACGCCGATCAGAAACGACGAAGATGTGATTGCAATGTTTCGGTGCCACACGATGTTTGGTAACTTACATACAATTGAGTTGTATGTCCGACTACTAGACAACCCCGAAACATTTCCAACACAAGAGACACAGTCACACTGCTACGGATACAGTCAAACATCCGACGACGAACCAAAACAAAACAACTTCCCTTTCATACCAAATGAGGAGGTTGGAGAAGCAAGCGACGACGATATTCAGGAGGTCAGGATGCAAGATATTTTTGGTGACAGTGATGACGAAGACAATGAAGATATGGTCGTAACGCCGATCCGTGCACAACCCATAAGTTTGTACAACCCGCCTGCTCACATGCAAAATATATATGACGAACACGACGATACAACCTCCGTGTTTGGAAATGCTACTCAAAACCATGTAGGTGACGAAATCGAGATTGGGATGGAGTTCGAAAACAAGGAAGCTTGTGTATTTGCTCTGTAGCATTGGCACATAACACACAGTGTTGACTATTGGGTGTATAAGTCTGACAATAAACGATATGTCATTAAATGTAAGAAACAAGACTGTGGTTTCAAGTGCAGAGCTTCCTTGAGAAAAAGGAACTCGAAATGGGTGATAGGTAAGCTGTCTGGGGATCACACATGCAGTTCGACGTCTATGGCACAAGACATAGGAAGCTCAGTTCAGAAATGGCTAGCCATAGCATCAGGGAACTTGTCAACACCGACGCCTCACTCAAGGTAAAAGGGATCATTGCCCATATTCTAGAAAAATACGGGTACATCATCCTATAGGAAGGCGTGGATCGCTAAGTGCAAGGCGGTAGAGTCGCTTTTTGGAAATTGGGAAACATCTTACAACGACCTACCGCAGTGGTTACTAGTAATGAAAACCTTCCTTCCAGGAACCATTATAGATTTACAAACACTACCTGCGATATTAAATGATGGTTCCCAACTCTCTGGAAAACGAATATTTCATCGTTTGTTTTGGGCATTTCGTCCGTGTATACGTGGCTTCGCCTACTGTAAGCCCATTGTGCAGGTAGACGGAACTTGGTTGTATGGTAAGTACAGAGGAACTCTATTGATGGCGGTGGCACAAGATGGCAATGCAAATATTTTCCCAATAGCATTCGCATTGGTCGAAGGTGAAACAAAGGAAACGTGGAGCTTTTTCCTGAGGAACCTGAGACTACACGTGACACCACAGTCGAATTTGTGTCTAATATCAGATAGACACGAATCGATAAAGAGTGCATACAACAATCCCGAAAACGGATGACTTCAACCAACATCTTCACATGTCTACTGCATAAGGCACATCGCTCAGAACTTCATGCGCGAGATTAAGGACAAGGCTCTACGCAAAAAACTTGTTAACATAGGTAAGAAAATAAATTTCACTTATCTCAAGTTTCGTAGCACACTTTTATCATTTTTTCACACAATTTTTCTTACAGGTTACGCATTGACAGAGGCTACATTTAATTACTATCGCGGAGAAATCAGAAAAACAAACATTGAGGCTTCGAATTGGATAGACAACATTCCTAGGGAGAAGTGGGCCAGAGCATTTGATGGAGGGCAACGTTGGGGACATATGACATCTAACTTGGCAGAGACAATAACTTTGTACTAAAGGCAACAAGAAACCTTCCAATCACTGCATTGGTCCAGTCTACGTACTATCGAATGGGATCTCTCTTTGGTAAAAGAGGACACAAATGGACCAAGATGTTATCTTCAGGGAAAGTGTTTACAGATGGTTGTAACAAAGGCATGGCTGATGAGGTAGCTAAGGCTAACACACACAATGTCATGCAATTTGATCGTGAAAGATTCTGTTTCATGGTGCAGGAAAACACTAACTATAAAGACGGTCGTCCAACGGGTACTTTCCGTGTTGACTTGCGTAGTCGATTCTGTGACTGTGGAAAGTTTCAGGCATTTCACTTGCCTTGCTCTCACGTGATAGCGGCATGTTCTAGCATACGACAGGACTACACAATTCACATTCCGGAGGTCTTCAAAGTTCTAAACGTGTTCAAGGTTTTACTAGAACTGGCCACAACGATTCCATGAGAAGAAATAAAAAGGGGCGTCCAAATAGTACTAGAATTAGAACTGAGATGGACGACGCAGAAAAAGAGCAAAGAAGATGTGGTATTTGTAGAGAAATAGGTCATATGCGTAGAAAATGTCCCAACGTTGTCGGTCCGTCAAACCGACCGAATAGATAATTTTATTGTACTACTTTTGTATGTAATCCTTCAATTATTTTTAATTCAAAACAACTTTAAAATTACAACAAAACACGCGAACTACAAACATAAATTAGATCCGTGACTCCGCAAACTCAAAAAACAAATACATGAAGATAACATAAACTCTAACAAACAACAGCGACCAATACAAAATCTAACAAACAACAGCGACCAACACAAGTGGATCTGTGACTCCTCTGTTGACTTCGCCACTATATGCTGAAAACATGCAATGGACATCTTCATCGTTTTTTATACGATCTAGGTAGTACATATACGTCCCCTCCGGGCTGGCATCGGTAAGCGTTATATATGGACAATGATACTCAATCTTCCTCGCTGTCACGCGACGACCGCCCAGCTGCCGAAATCCGGTGTTAATTGCTGCAACCAATGTTCTGAAATTCCACAACGGATCTAGGTTAATACTGATTTTTTTCTCTGGTCCATAGAAAACAAGAGCTTGAACAGACATTTTTATGAATCAGATAAGTTGTCACGAATGATATTTGCTGATGAGCAATACACTTATTTATAAAAAAAAAACTAACGTTTAAGCTCGGTCATTCAATAACCGAGACTCTGTAAAAACTACACACATATACTACCGAACATCATTCACTATTTTTTTAATTCATATACGATAAAATATTATTAAATTAATTTAATATATAATATTATTTTAATTTACTGTATAATAGTTTAATACTATATTACCTTTTAATAAAATTAAAATTTTACTTAATAAAAAAATAACTATTATTTTATTATTAATCATATAAATAAATAATTAATGTATCAAACAATAATTTATTTATAACAAATTAATAAAACTCAGAAGAAAAAAAATACGTGTACAAGCTCGTCCTTCCAATGGACGAGCTCATACTGGGCCACGTTTCATCACAAGCTCGTCCTTCCGTTGGGCGAACATGCACTGGGCCAAACATGTGGGTCACTTCAATGGGCGAGCATGTGTAAAAAGTGGGGTAATCTGGTAAAAAAATTTCAAATTGGGGTATTATGGTATATTATATTTCAAAATGGGGTAGTACGGTCAAAAATCCAAATACTGAGGCATATTCTCTTAAATGTGTGTGAAAACGTCTTGAAGATCTACAATCCGTTAGAGGTAGAATTTGCCCAGATTTTGTGGGGACCATTGATAGTGACTCACCCTTGATTTTGTCCGTAGTGACTTACAATTTCTTCTAGAATGCTTTGAATTCTTACCGTGTGAATGTGTAATTTTGTATTTTTCACTACTCTTGATTTGATGCTGATATGTAGGGTCTTCCTTTTGACTCAAAATAAGTCCTTTTATTATGACCCTTACTTCTTGCTTGTGAATATTTGAATAGCCTTGTATATTCCTTCATGAATCATTATGCAATATGTTCTCTTCATGATCCTGGTACTTTTGCTTCATGTGTTGTGAATTCTGCTAACATTATCCATGTGTATTTAAACTTACTTCTTGCTGTTGAAAGCTCCCATGGTAACTTTGTGTTTTTGCGTTGATTTTCATGTACCGACCTTAACTTGGTGTGGAGTGGTATGATGCCTTGCAATCTTGTGGATTAAGCATGAAGTTGTCTTTTTTAAGGGGATGCAATTAAGACGTGGCAGATGATGTCATGGAGTAAAGCGAGGAATGTAGCATTATTCTTTGCATCTGTAACAATAACAATCATGCGTAAGCATGTGAATACGTTTATTTATCACAACCAATTCCCTGCATCCATTTGAGTAGAGGTATAAAATGATTTTGTCCCTGAATTGTGCGTTTCTGTATCTGGTTTTGTAGGTACTTGTTTGTCGCAGTGCCTTGTAAACTAACACTCTTCCTACTGATTCTAAGAATAACTCCCATCTTTTATCTCCTTGTATGTACCATGGTGCTCATTAGTATGAACTCTCCTTGCTTTTTTTTTTTTTAATTTCATTTTCTTGTAAGCACCATTTTAAGGACAATTGGGAATTATGCTTGGTGATGGGGATAGTTTTATGCTTGTTATTCCTCTTGGTTGTGCCTCTGAATTTATTGTGAACTTGATAGAGAGCCTGCATGCTCATATTTCTGTTATTGTCAGCATTCATTTCATCTCTTCTATTCTTCTATGTGTTTAATGAACTTTGATTTGTCGAGTGATTTATCTAGCCTGAATTAACTTTTTGAGCCACTCTATTTCATGTGCAAATGGTATGGGAGCTCGAAGAATGGATGATGCAAGGGAGTCAAAGAAGGCACATGAAGATAAAGAGATTAAAAGGCTGCTCATAGACTTGCGGCGTTAAACTCAGTCGTGTAACCTTGAGTTTAATCATTTGAATATGTCTTTGAAATCTGTTTTTGTAATTTCGTACATTGCTGCCTTTATAATTGGATATTGATGGGATTGGCAGTATTAAGATTTCCGTGAATTTAGGCTAGAACGGATTCATGCGACCCCCAGCAATTTGCCTTTAGATCACAGGAAAAGCAGCAATATGAAGTTTGATCATTTAGCTCATGGCATAGGCTTGGTAGTAACTTCTAGGATTAGGCTGTGTGTTTGTATGTCCATTTATATATTTCTTGTGGCCAATTTGTAATTCAAGCACATAATGTAATATTGGATACTCCACTGAATTTGTAACTCCTTGACATTTCTTTAACTAGAACTTAGGAACTGTAATATGCATGGTGATGTGAGTTTTGGTGTAATGTAATGGCTTTGTTGAATGGCTACACAGCCTGTTCATTGTTGAGTCATCATAATATAAGCTTTCCAACTGGATCCTTATGGCTTACATAAATAGTTCCAACTATGGTCTAGAACATTGACTTGAGATACAAACGATTCATTTTCTTGAACATTTATTAATCCTGTTTTGAACAAAGTGTCCCTAAGGACTAGTCTGGACACAAATTGAATTTCTTTAGAATAAATGGCCATCACAATCTTCCTTATATTCCTAAACAGGACTTGCTTTGAATTAATTGAATCCTTGGTTTCTCACTTTTAATAACGGATTGAAAATTGACCCGCTTCTATGTCCTGAACCTCCAATGATAGCCCAAAACTTTGACCATAAAATCCTAATCAAACTTGAAACAAATCTTGGACATGAACCTTACTCGTGGCACAAAACCAGATAATCATGACTAATCATCAAAACTGGACACCAACTTTCAACGAATTAACTTATGACTAATTGATCTTAGCTCGTA